AACACATTGAGTAGATCTTATATTAGAAGACATTGGAAAAATTCCTACAGCATCAAAGACTTTAGCAAGAGCAATCAATTTTATAGGGTATATATATAACCATATGGGACTTCTAAATATGATGACAGAGTTCACTAAGCAAAAGGAGTTAGTAAGGCTTGGCAAAACTAGATTCTGCACTTCATATCTTACTCTTAAAAGCATTCATCAATAGAAAATTGCATTGAGGACTATGTTTACTTCAGAGAAGTGGGAATCAAGTAAGTGGTCAAGAGAACCTAAAGGAAAGTGTGTGATTGAAAGTGTGCTTATGCCTTCTTTTTGGAATATTATTTCTTATATATTAAAGGTTATGGGACCTTTTGTTTGAGTGCTAAGACTTGTAGATAATGAAAAAAAACCAGCCATGGGTTATATATATGAAGCAATGGATAGAGCTAAAGAGGTAATTCAAAAGGCATTTGATAATAATGAAGATAAGTATAGAGAGATTTTTCATATTATTAATGAAAGGTAGAATTGCCAACTTCATCAACCTCTACATGCTATAGCTCATCTCCTAATTCCATAATATTATTATGACAATCCAGATATAGAGTTTGATGAAGAAATCACTAAGGGCCTAATATCTTGCATAGGGAGACTTGTGAAAGACCCAACTGCCCAAGAGAAGATCATGAATGAATTAACAATATATAAAAGACTAGAAGGACTTTTTAAGGGTTGATTTGGCCATTAGAACAAGGAACACAAGAGCTCCAAGTATATTATAATCACACATTAGTTATTTAATAGTCTTAGTTTTACTAATTTAGTTAAATAATTATTTATTATTTTTATGACTTTGTAGCGGAATGGTAGGCTTCTTATGGAAGCTCTAGCCCTAATTTACAATATTTGGCAATCAGAATACTAAGCCTTACTTGTAATGCATCAGGCTATAAATGTAACTGGAATGTGTTTGAGCAAGTTAAATTTAAATATTTCAATTTTTTAAAATAGGTTAATGCTATGTTTTATCATATATTCACTTCATATTAAGATAATTAATTATTATACATGATTTTTCCACTTAGATTTATACAAAAAAGCAAAACATGCTTGCTCAAGATAGACTCAATGATTTGGTCTTTGTGAAATACAATCAAGCACTGAAAAATAAATATGATGGGCAAGATGTAGATCCTATTTCCTTAGTGAATATTGATAAAAGTAATGAATGGCTACTTGGTAGTATGATGGATGTCGATGAGGACGCAATAGATGAGCATGTTTTTGGTGATGATAAGAATGAAGAGTTAATATAGGGGGCTATTACATCAGCAGGAGGTGTTGGAGAACAAATTAAACAAACAAGAAGCCAAAGCCAAGCTAAAGGAAAAAAAACCTAGCTCATCTAGAGCTAAAGGAAAACAACCAATTACCAACATTGAGAAATTAGCAAATTTTGATTCAGATGAGTTAGTAGAAGATGATGAAGGATATAAATCCAAAAATGAAGGAGGAGAAAGTCGTGAGCTTGCTATATCTAAGTTTGATTCAGATTTTTAGTTTGATTTTTTTATGGGCTTAAATATTGCTTTTTCATATTTTAAAGACATTTTATGCACTTGATTGATTATTGGAATAGTTTATATTATTTTGTAGTAGTTTTGTAGAAGTTTATGATTGAAGTAGATTTATATTTATCATTTTATCTATGGTTTGTTGTCTATAATTTATATATTATGCATTTTATCTATAGTAGTGCCTTGCTTCACTCAGGCGTGCGCCTTTGTAGCACCTTATGCCTAAGGCGTTTTACCGACTTTGTGCCTTGAGTGTGCTTTTTTCCTTTAACAATACTGGCACGGACATCATACAAGGTAAGATAACATCAAATTGAAGACAAAAGGCAAAAAAAAAAACTAACTTCGGCACAATTATGCTACAGCATAAAATTTTATGGTGCGACATAAAATGTAGAAACCTATAACAACAACAAAAAATTGCCATGGCAGATTTCTAACAAAACTTCCAATGCATTCCAATTCTTCATCCAACGTTCAATTGAGATGACCTGGTGTCTATAGAAAGCTTTCTCTAAGCTCTAGTTAATGGCACTGGTTTCACATTCAAATCATTTCTTAATCAAAAGTTAGACACCAAAATGCAAAGTTACCCATTTATATTTTCAAAACATAACTAGGGTGTCCAAAATCACAATCAAATGCCATAAATTTATAACCACCTGTAGACCACACTCAATAGACCATACATGACTCATGAAAAAAACTACACTCAACCCAAAAATACATATTTAGCAAATTCACCACACCACTTGACTCCATAACACATAAAACACAAGAGGGAGGAATTTCTTGCACGAGACAATCATTTTCATTCCAAACTAGTCAAAAATACACATATTCCTACTTACACAAATATTTTAGTCCAATACTAGGGTTTACAACCAAAACTCACTAACCCAGGGTATAAAATATACAAGTATGCAAGTAGTACAAAAATATTTATGTGAATCCTAGTTGGCAAGTTAACAATCTTAGTACACATAAAATAACATAAAGAGGCATACAAAGAATTACTCTACAATCCTTTGCCTCAGCACGTTTTCTTCAATCTTGATCCAATAAGCTAGGCCCTAAAAATATTGAAAATTAAGGAATGAGTATAACCACTCAGTAACCAAGTTTCATCTATTTTATACAATTGTATATTAATAAAAAATGGATGCAATTTGCAATAAATACACACATAAAACATGTATGACAACGTATAGTCTTGGCCATAACAATAACAACCATATGACTAGGCTTCAAATACATAATCATATATATATATATATATATCAATAATGCACAACCTAGGGTTACAATAATACCAACCATGTGTCCCTAAACTGCACCGGACCATAATACTAACAACCATGTGGTCGGGACTAAATGCATGATCATATGCCAACCTTGTACCCTTCTATTACCTTTGACATAAAATCGATGGCTATTCGGTGGCTACATTCTTCATGGACTAACCCAACCTTCTACTTGTGAGGAGCTACTAGGCTAGGATTAACTCACTCGTGTAATCCAGTTTCCCCTAATACTAACAACCATGGAATGTCGTACCCCTAATCTAGCCCCCTTATGAACCAGTGGAGACTAGTTAGGTTTAAGTCTCTCACAAAATAAGTAGGATAGTCCTGAGTCAACCATAGGACAAGGGCTACCTCCTGATTCCAACGGTCAGTGACAAAGCAAGCTCCTGATTCCAATGGTCGCTGCCAATACCATGTGGGCTAAGTCAACTACTCCTCTCCCTAAGCAAACTCCCGCTAATCATCATGCTATGCACGTATATCACATATGTATATGCATTCTAATTAACCGTTTATATTATGAATCCACATAGCCATACTCACACCAACTCACTCCATACACCAACTAGTACATAATCACAATTTCTCATTTATCATCACTATTAGCATGTATATGAACATACATATAATTTGCAACAATAATGCATTAACAACCTTGCTAAATTTGCATCATGAGTTTAAAAAATATTAAACATGTTTCAAATCAACCATTTCAACAAATAACCAATTAATATTCAACTATATAAACTAGGTTTCTCCTAGTTACCTCAAACCTTTGAGAGGTCAAAGGTTTACTCCTCAATAAAAGTTCTTCACAAGCTATACCAAAGTTTGAATGGTACACAAGATGATTGATCTACAATTAATTATACCAATCATTATTAAAATTATCATAAACATTCTTCCAACTTCCATAAATCAACACTTTAATTATCCAAAATTCCAATCTCTTGCACTTAAGCATAACCATTAGGTTTATTAACTCTCATTAACTCCATTTAGCTTATATTAACTTAAATAATCACTAATATAACACCCAATAATCCAAAATCACACTTTGGAGGTCTAGGGTTTGTCCAAAATGGATGACCCAAGCTTACAACCATGTAAAAGCTTTTAAACTATGTATAGAATACTTAAACAACTCATATTAGTTCCATTTAGACTAATGGATTCAAACTCAGCCTTAAATTTAGAGATCATCATCTCTAAATCTTAAATCTCACTTCTAAAATATATAGAGGGAAGAAGAGATAAAGAAGGCATACCTAAGTGAAACTAAGCTTCAAACACCTCTAAAATGCCCAAGAGTTGATGCCCTAGTAGAGAAAACACTCTCTTGGTCATCTCTTTGGTTCAGGAAATTATGTTGCGGCATGTCACAATTTTTATGCTATAGTGTTAAGCTAAAAATCCACTTCTCTCTACAATTTGAACCCGGGTGATTCAATTCACTTCCGAACCCAATCCAAAAGCTAAAGTCAAACCCAATATCTATTTCTAACTATCCTCAAACCTAATTAAACTTAAGTTTTCATAATTACCCTTTATTAGATTAATAAATTATGGAAAAAAATTTTGAGATGTTACAACCCCAGCTTAATGCACCATTTTGGTCCAAACAGATGGTATTTTTTCTATAATAAATTTGAATATCTGACATTAGTTTTGCATCAAATTTTAAAAAGCAGGTTGAAAGATACTTTTTATTAAGAAACTTTGGGTTAAAGTTTTTTGAATTTAAGCGTAATTATGAATTTATGTACACTTAATTTAATAAAAAATTGAAATTAAAGTTAATATTTAATTTTACTGATACGTTGGTAATAATTTATATACGTGTGTGTGTGTGTGTGGCTTTTATGTCCCTTCTTAAACCGGCTAAAAAGGCTATAAAATAACCATCGATAATTTTTTTTTTTTAAATGGTAGAGACTCTTACCTTTTATGTTCTCCAGGGACGAGTACCTGGTTTTTTCTTCATCACATTCATTTTTGCATAAATATGACTTCACCACACTTAAACCACCGACTTGCTTGAATCCATTGGTAAGTATTTATTTATATACATGCTGCTGTTGCTATTTTACATACTTACATGCATTTTTGCTACATTGTAATTTAGGTGATAGATGCTTTTGTTGAGATCTTTACTGACATTGAACGAAAGGACAAAGCTAATCCTCGTCATTGGTATCTTCCGGTGTCATTTTCGGTGATTTCTTAATCCTTTTTAAATTAAATATAAGATGTTAGTTTTGCAATTCAAAACTATTTCATTGACTTGAACTTTTTATTTGTTGATCCATGATGTAATTATAGAGAATAGCAGATAGTGGCCATGTAAGCTACTTCCTCAACTTTGTCAAACAGAATAATATAAAAGAAAATTACATGTCTGATCACTTGGTTGACTGTGAAAAGGTACTATGTTTCCATTTATTTAGAATTTATTATAGATATAATTACATTTTTTGACAACTATATATTGATTTAATTTTTCATTTCATTCATTCATCACAGATATTCATTCCGGTTCATGTTGGGCGAAAGTTAGATGGACATTTTTATTTATACCTTAATGATTTAAAGAATAAATTGGTTGAAATATGGGATTCTCTATTAGATGATGAATATATGACTAAAATAGAACGTGACGAGACAACTCAAAATTTGGTAAGTGTTAGATGATTGTAATATTCATATCATTAATTGATTGATTATTCTCTGTTTTTTTTTATAATTAATGTTTTATGGTCAGCTGATTGCCATGGAAAATCTCTTCAAGGATACTACGTTCACAAAATTTGATCAGACGATGGCGAATAATATTCCATTAGAGTCCAACAAGTGAGTTGACGATTTTTATTTTAAATTATAAGGCTTACTTTAAAAAACGAGAAGTATTCATCACAATGTCATCGTAATTATATTTTTTATCAATATGTAGGTATGATGGTGGCATATTTGTTATTAACTTTATGCAACAAAGGATTCATTCAATTCAGGTACTGTCAATAGTAAATCAGTTACCATATATCAAATACTCCTTCAAATCCTTATCATATGACACTTTTAACTGTTTCACGTATGTTAAGAAAAATTAATTTTTTCTTGATATCATCAAAAACTGAAAGGTATTTTCACTTTTATTTTTGGCTTTAAATAATAATACAACTGCATTAAATACATTCATGTTAATCAAGAAGGGGTAAAATTGAAAAAAGTGATTTAATTACTATAAAGTGTCCTATATTTTCGATCAAAAATTAATTCTAGAAGATGCCTTATAAATAGGACCAAAGGGAGTATAGGCTATATATATATATATATATATATAGACATTCTCACTCTTCATATTTTCACATATATAATATGGTCAATAATGCAGGTTAACAGCGATGAAGCAAGGCTGAATCTAGCTCTACAGTTACTTAACAGTAACCTGAATAAGGAAAAGGCAAATCTATATTGCAAAGCAGAATGTTCACAAGTAAAAGCAAAAGAAGATTCATATATGTCTGGAGTTAAGAGAAGGCGTGCTAGCCCTAAAAATGTTGGCAGAGAGGCATATATAGAATTGGATGATTCTAATAGAAAAGTTAAGAGAGACCATATTGATTTGATAACAGGTATGTACAACAACAACAACAACAACAACAACCCTTTATCCCACTAGGTGGGGTCGGCTACATGAATTGTAAGACGCCATTGTGCACTATCGTTTATCAAGCTTTTAGAAATATTATTAATTAAGAGATCGCGTTCAACAACTTCCAAGAGTGTTCTCTTAGGCCTTCCTCTACCTCTCTTAATCGGACTCAAAGTTATATGTTCCACTCTTCTCACTGGTGCCTCCCTTGGTCTTCTTTGTACATGCCCAAACCATCTCAACCGATTTTCTACCATTTTTTCCTCAATAGGTGCCACCCTCACTTTTTCGCGTATGTGCTCATTTTGAATTTTATCTTTACGTGTATGTCCGCACATCCATCGTAACATTCTCATCTCTGCTACTCCAACTTTATGCTCTTGCTGTCCCGTTAGAGCCCAGCATTCACTACTATATAACATTGCCGATCTGATAGCAGTGCGATAACAGGTATGTACAATATGAACTTAAATTGTCAGACTGATTTTTATTGTCGTTTATTAATTAAAAATTTTGACTATATATAAGTATTATCATACAAATCAAGATTGAATTTAAATGTGATATGTTAATTTTCTTTTTTATTTTTATCACTTCCCGTCCTAGAAATATGTGATTCCTATTATGACTTGATGTTGAGTATTGATTACTGCTACTCTTGTTGCTAGGATCTTCTAAAGGTTATGTATTACCAGCAACAAATTTAGTAGGGGAAGAGTTTCAAGAATATATTGATCAAATATGGAAGTGGATAATGGAAGATAAGGCATCAGCAATTGGGATATAGGGAATGGGAGGAGTGGGCAAAACAGCTTTAGCAACTCATATCCATAACAAGCTTTTAGAAGAAGCAAGTGGTGACTTTGATCATGTCATTTGGGTAACTGCATCACAACATCAAAGCTTTTGGTTTGGCTTCTTGTTTCATTTCTTGGTTTCACGGTTTCAGTTTAGAGCTGTGAAGTCACGATCGGCCCATCTAGTTTAAGTTGCAATTCTCCGATTCCATTTCCAAGCATCACACTTTTTCTTTGAGCTTCGATTTCAAGCTTCGCACTGTGATTTCAAACTTCAGATTTTGCTCTTCTCCTCCCATTCTCTCTAACTTTGGCAGTGTGGCAGTAGCTTTCTGTTTTTAGCGTTGTGCATTTTCTTTGTCTCTTTGAGCTTTGATTTTGTCTTTCAGGCTTCAGCATCGATTTCTAGCTCTTCTGCCACTATGACTTCACTAAATTTTTTTTTTGCCAGAGCTGTGACTTTACTGATTTCCTTCATCTTCCCCTATCGATTGGCATCAACAAGAGCAACCACAGCCTACAAGTGATCTTTTCCTCCTCTTCCTCATCCTCACCGAGCTATCCTCTTCCTGGTTTGGCTCTACTTTATCATCTAACAATCTAAGTAAGTTTCAATGTTTATTTCTTTCAAATTTTCAATTCCTTAGAAGTTCAAATTCCTTATCTATCGAAGACTTAATTTGATTAAATGCTATATATGCCTGCATATAATGATTGTGTAATGGATTTTAAGATGCCTACAAGCATTCATTGACAATGCATCAATTAATTGATACTTGATAGCCAATTTGAGACTAACCACTGGAATGGAATGCTTAATCTGATTTGTTTACTCTTCTTTATTTATATTTTATATATTGATTAGGTCTTTTAATGACAAATCTAAAATTTGCCTTATAGAAAATGACATCTGAAAATGCTTCAACTACTGCATCAACACAATCTGTTACATCGAAGACAGATCCTACATGGGAGCATTGTGCTGAGATCAAGCTCCCAGATGGCAAAGTTCACCTAAAATGTTTGTACTGTGCAAAAGAATTTGCTAGTGGAGGGATTCATAGAATGAAACAACATCTTGCTAGAAAGAAAGGGGATGCAATAAGTTGCAAAAAGGTGCCTGCTGATGTTCGCTACCGACTTGAAGAAAATTTAAAGGAGGGAGAATAAAGGCAAAAAGCAAGATAGTTATAAAGAGGACAATCCATATGGCCCTAATGTCACACCATTAGAAAGTCATGATGGAAATTCAGAAGAAATTTCTACTCCTCAATCTCAAACCCTCAAGGAAATTCAATCACAAAGTCAAACTCAACTTAGAAAAAGAAAGGCTCCTATTGACAAATATTTTGCACCAAGAACAACCCCAGGAGAACAACCAGGGATACGAAGTACGCTTGCAGGTAAAGAACCTATACGTAGAGCAGACATGGCTTTTGCTAAGTGAATGTATGATTGTTGTATCCCATTGAATGTTGTCAATTCAGCATTCTTTCAACCTATAATTAATACGCTTACAGCTATTGGCCCTGGTTATAAAGGGCCAAGTTATCATGCCATGAGAACTAAATTATTGCTTGATACTAAAAAGGAAGTTCAGTTAATGATTGATAGTTTTAGAAACTTTTGGGATGATACTGGTTGTACAATCATGGTCGATGGTTAGCAAGATCAAGCAAATAGGCAATTGATTAACTTTCTTGTCTATTCTCCTAGGGAAATTGTTTTTATTAAATCTGTTGATGCATCAGACATAGTCAAGGATGCCTAAAATTTGTGCAACTTGTTCACTAAAATGGTTGACTTTATTGGAGTCACAAATGTTGTGCACTTGATAACTAATAATGCAGCTAATTATAAAGCTGCTGGGCAGTTATTATGTGATAAATTTCCTTCTATTTTTTAGTCTCCTTGTGCTGCACATTGTTTGAACTTGATTGGCTTGGCAACACGTGCATCTATGATGACAAAGTTTGTTTATAATCATGCCTTTTTGCTTGCTTGGCTGAGAAAAAGATAAGGTTGGACTCAAATTATTCACCCTGGGGTGACACGATTTGCTACCACTTTTATTGCATTGAAAAGTATTCATAAGTATAAACATGATTTGCAAACCTTGATAACTAATAAAGTATTTTTAGATTCTAGATACTTAAAAGGAGAAAAGGCAAAGGATGTGACTTTAATAGTGCTGGACACTCAATTTTGGAATGATTGTAAAATTGTGGTCCAAATTGTTTCACCACTTATTCGGTTGTTGAGGATTGTTGATGCTGATGAAAGGCCTTCACTTGGGTATGTATATGATGGCATGTACAGGGCAAGAAAAACTATCAAGAATATATTAATGAATAAAAAGCCCTTGTATAAGCCTTACACAAGGATTATCAAGAAAAGGTGGGATTCTCAACTTCATCAGAAGCTTCATGCAGCAGCTTATTTCCTAAATTTTGTGTTCTTTTATGATAAGCATAGCTTCTGTAAAAAGCCAGAGGTTATGGCTGGATTTCTTGATGTTTTGGATAAGACAATCACTTCTAACAAAACCAAGTTCGTGCAAGAAAGTTTGTTGTATTAAGATAGAGTTGACAGCTTTAGTCGTTCCTTGGCCATTTCATCTATAAACTCATTGTGGCCAAGTAAATTTTAATGCCTTTTTCATTTAACTTTAATATTTTTTAGTTTTTATAGTTCTTACTTATGTTTATCTTTGATGCTAAATTTTGCAGATAAATGGTGAAAAATATTTGGTGATAGTGCACCAAATGTTAAAAAATTGGCATGAGACTCTTAAGCCAAACTTCATCTTCATCTAGTTGTGAAAGAAATTAGAGTGTTTTTGAAAGAATACACTCTAAAAAAAGGAATAGGTTGGAGTATAAAAGGTTAAATGATCTTGTGTTTATTCATTACAACCTTCGTTTGAGAAATATGTATATTATTTAATTATAGCTAAACTTTGTTTAACATAAGTTTACTTATAAGTTAACTTCTAAAATTTTAATACTTTGGTTATGTGTTTTAGAGTTTATAACAAGAAAAGATCTTTTGATCCTATTGATTATGAAAGTATTGGTGACAATAAGTATTGGATCATGGAAGATAAAGATTCTCCTACCCTTAATTATGATGAGATAAAAGAAGCTATGCTTTATGATGATACAATAATTCTACAAGTTTCTATCAATCAAGATGAAGGTTTGATCTTTGATATTTTCTAGTATTTAGTCATGTTATTATTTTTCTTATAATATGTGTTACTTATTAATTTTAATATTTGATTTGTTACATTATTTAATAAAGGTAATAATGAAGGAGGAGGCAATGAGGTTTCGTTTGGGGGTGGATGTTTAATCATAGAAGGACTTGATTTGAGATCTTTTTCCCAAGAAGATGTTGAAACTTATAGTGATGATGATTTGCGGGAAACTCATGCTTGGCTTAATTAGGATCCACCAATCTTTGACAAGTCATGAATAGATAAATATGATGTTATGCTTGTTTAAATTATTGGTGTGTTGTGTTATTTTGCCTTGTTAGTTGTTATTTTGTCATATGTTGAAGTTGAAGTTGACTATTTATTTTGATATTTTAATTATTTGATGTTTTGTTTATATTATTATATAGATATATAATTTTTAAATTTAATTATGATGTCACCGGTTGGACCATTGGTTCAACTCGGTTGGACCATGTGAACCATAGACCGCCGACTTTTCCGGTTCAATATCTAGTCCAATTCTAAAAATATTGCCAACAAGAGACTGGCTAAGGGGATGGAGGATGGTAAGAATGTCATACTAAAGAATATTGTTTAACTGATACATATTCTCCCTAATATTGTTTGAGTGCTCCTTTTTGTATACTATCTCTAGATCATCAGATTGTTATAATTTTCCATATATTTCACTTTATGATTAATCCACATATCCTCAGAATATTCAATTATAAATATAATACGTTTTAGCACAAAAAAACAATCAGATCAAAGGACCATGATGTTCCCAAGGTTTCAAACAACTAAAGCAACTTTCTTTAGTGAGGATGGCTGTAACGCTTCAAAAATAGAGAGTGATTAGTGAAGAATATATGTACAAACATACCATCCTTAAGCTTTAAATCACGAATTCTTTCAATTATTAAAACATAATTATATTATTACTAATTTATAACATACATGACCATCTTTTTTATTAATAAAAACTTTAATATATTTGTAAAAATTTTGACAAAACCTTTCCTATAAATAAGATCTCCCGAAACTCTATAACACAATATTTTGTACGAAAGATCATTTCAATTGAGAACTCAACTCCTTCTAACCAGTATACAAGATATATAACAAAACAAAGAACCTAATTATAAACTATGTGGAGCATAAAAATAAGTTTTACAAATAAAATTTCATAATTAAACTTTACATTAAAATAAAGTTTCACCCTTAACTCCTCCAATTCTAATTAGCAATAAACCCCTCAAAATTTAACGGAAGGTTTGGTGTCAGCTACATTATCTGAGATCAAAATTATTTTTAATGAATAATGTTCCCAAAATAAATAGATTCAAATAATTATAAATAAATTAAAAAAAATCTCTCAATGTAACATGACCACCAAACTTGAGGTTTTTAAAAATTATACAAAGCCTTGAAAAATATTGAACCATTAGATTTACAAATAAAACGAAGCAGTCTTATTATTTGCTCTTAAGAAATCAATAATTTAAACAAACAAATAAAAAAATAGAATCATTTACTAAATAAAATCAATGAAATATAAAGTTCACAAACTAATTAAAAACTAATAATTTGAGAATTTTACAGAACAAATAACAAATATAAACACACAATCCACGAGAGTAAATAACCGAACGCGACTTATACCATGAAGATAGATGTGGACACACAATTTATGAAGGTAACTAATCAAACATGATCGAAACCACGAAACAAGCATGAGAATAGAACTCACAGAATTCAAATTAGCTAGTCTTTGACCATAGCATGCCAAGGGTTAATAAAACTGCCATTAGCAACTAATATTTTGCTTACAGTCCTCTAACAATCTCTTTTCAAACATACAAGAAAATAACCA